AACTCTCGAAATCGACGACGTCTTCCCCTTCGCGCCGAAATCGACGACGGCAGCTCCGTTCCTCGCTGGAAATCGACGGCGATAGCTTCATTGTTGACGATAGCTCCATTCCTCGATCCAGGTACGCCATTCCTCGCTCCCTTACTTTAAGTTAACACCCTTTAACTTTTTCAATGTAAAGGCAAACCATAGCTAGAAGGTACACGCTATCGGGTTTTTTTAGTCTGAAATTGTTAGGGTTCTTTTGTGTTGAATGAGCATTGATTTGGGCTTTTTGCTGGGGTCGTTCTCGTTGTAATCTGGGCAGATTTGTGAGAGGGTTGCTTTCATTCTTGAGGCTAGGATAGGTCTCTGATTTCTTGCAGGTTATAGAGAGTTATTGAGTGATTAGACTTGGGTTAAGCATTGCTCTGTTTCGGCAGATTGAGTGTGTAATTCTTGGTTTTTGATTTCTTTGAATCTTGTTTGTGTTGGATTGATTTATGTGTTGGATTGACGGTTAATTGTGTTGTATCATTTTTTGTTATTTTCCCATCTCCATTGCTATCAACATTTGAAAAACATTTTTGTTAAATTACATATCGATGTGGGGTTCATTCATGCATGCATGGGAAAGTTTAATGTGTTTTATATTGAAGAGAAATGGAGGAGATGATGATGGAAGGATTCTTAGGGATTAAGACGGTTGAAGAAGATAAATAATTGATGAATTGATTAACAAGATATGAAAAAATGTGTGTGATGAATTGAGTGGTGTTCAACAGAATAAAGTTTTATGTAATGGGGTTTTTTTTTCTTTCTAAATTTAGGGTGAGTTTGTTGAGCAAGTCTTAAAATATGATTAGAGGAATTGATGGTTAATTTAGAATTGGGAAGATATTACAAAATGGAATATAATTCAAGGACGCAAAGCTTAAGTTAAATAAAGTAAAGGTTCATTTTAATTAAAGTAGATTTATGACAGGTTCTTACAACGGCGGAAGTGATGTGGTGGCCGTGGCCCAACGTGAAAACTTCAAAACTTTGTTAGAAATGGGATAAGCCATCCTCCTCAGATTGTTCAATTGTATTACTCTTGCCATTCATCTATGGCACGTGGGGATGCTACAACTACAACTAATGATTTGATTTATTTTATGATGATGTGAGAAACATTATAGGCAGCATTCAAACTTGTCATTTTTTGTTTTTTATTACTCAATTGGGTGGGATCTGATATCCATTGGACCATCTTCATTAGATTGAGCACATAGTCTGGATTAACAGTTGAAGGTCCCTCTTTTTTGTGGTCACTGCCCAATGTGTTCCATTGTGTTTTTGAAATGTGCTTGTGTTGACAAATTTATGTGGATTATGCTGTTCTTTCCAAAAACCTTGAAAGCTTCTTGTAGGTATATCTCTCCATACATGGATTATATGGTATTTGTTTGTCTTTCTTCTCTTTTGGTGAGTCTTCCTTTTTATGTGCTGCTGAAACTTACTTATTCATCTTGGATTCTGAATTGAAATCTCTGTGATTCCATTGCCATGTTTATTCTTGATTTTTTTTTCAGATTTTTTTTTTCTGTTATTTTTGCGTAGATGGTGGTGATGGTTATGATGATGATGATGGTGATGATGGTGATGAATTTTGATACTAGTGTGTGAAGCTCAATCAACATAGAGACGGATCAAAGAAAAATACTTGCATCAAATGTTTTTTATTAATTATTATGTATTTTGTCATTTGATATGTAAATACAACATCATGTTTGGATTTGGACTTTGAATTGTTGTTAATACTTAAATTGTAGGATTGTTGTTGAATTTGAACTTTGAATCTGTTGGACGTAATTAAATTGTTTTGTCTTATTGAAAATGAAATAAATAAAAAATTGTTTTTTCAAAAATGTGCTGACGTTATTATGATGTGTGATGATATCACCAGTCCAATCAACGGTCCAATCGGTTGGACCGGTTGAACCGTGACCGACCATCAAAGCGGTTGGCCCTCCGCCGGTTTTTAAAACAATGCATTTACTACACTTTATGAATATAAAGCATAGTAAAGATATCATAAGTAGTACAGATAAGATAGTTAGTAGTTGTGATAGCATAACATTATGTTTAATTATAGTCATTTCTATCACTATAGTGAGGGTGGTGAGACTTCACGTCACAACCTCTCATTTTCATAGATCAAATAATATTTCTGTTACTCTCAAGAGAAATTAAACTATTGTCCTTGCCCCAGCAGGAAAATAATATGATTTAGACATGCCGCCCTGGGATTATTTATTTAAGAAATTTATATAGTCGTAATCAGCAAGTTCCCGTACGCTAAGTTGCTTCTCTGAATTTTATCCTATTTGACATTATGTACAGTGAAATAATCTAAATTCAAAATCAATGAACACAATTTACTAGTTACTTTATCCCTTCCACGTGGAATATTTTAGTACGAGTTGGCAACCACCATATTTATAGAACTATAGTTGGCTCCATAAATTCATCCAAAACAACGATTTGGCATAGTCAAACCTTTGATTTGGGGCTGGTTTATGGAATGTTAATGCCGCAACAGATAATTTTTTCCATCCTTCATCATAGCAGCTCCATCTAGTTCAGGTTCGTATTTCTTTTTCCCAGAACTTGCTTCTTTATTTCCTTATAATCTGATAATGTGTATCCCTCTAAGTTAATCTTGTGAAAGAAGCATAAAATTAGGTTCAATATCCGTCTTTGAATACAATTATTCTAACTGAAGCCAAATAAAGTACCTCTTAATTATTAGTTGGTATCAGTGTTTTAATTTCCCAATCAGGAATAGTTATGCTTTATGCTTTTGTGCTATATGGTTATCAGTTAGGTGTTGTTATCCTGTTAAATAATCAATGCAACAGTGCGTGCCATACGCAAATAATAAACGTTGTCTTTGTCTGTTCAATTATCTCATAAGCCAATGATGTCAGGCTATGTAAACTTGAACTCAGCTCATGATACTCAAAGGGGTCATTTCGGGAGGTCGCCTTCACTTCCAAAATCTGTTGCAGCATGATGCGGACTTTGCAGACCCTGCTGCTTTTGTAAGTCTTTTCTTGAGAGCTTCTTGTTTAATTCTTCAAGTGGTTTGTTATTGTAATGATGGGGCCTTAGCACAGAATCTTTTCAATTTTTATAAATTTCTTGTATAGGATAAATAAGAAATTTTATTCGAAAATAATACATGGACTAGAATCATTAGCAAGAACATAAAAAAAAAAAAAAAAAAACAACATAGAAACCAAATGATTTCTAAATATTTTTATTGTTATATATCTCTAGTGATCCAGGATCTGGGCACACTGTATAAAATTAGAAAAAAAAAAAAAAAAAAAAAAAAAAAGGAAGGAGGTTGTGGTAGAATTAAATATTAAGATTAACCCAATCCAATCAAAATATTTTATGTGAACTTATCTGTTGAAGAGGAAGAAGAGGCCATATAGGGTTTTAGTCCCTTTTTTATATTGGTAGCTTGAGTGATAGTTTTGTTTGTGATTATTGGACATGCTAACTAACCTGTTAATATAAATCAACAATTGTTACATCATTTTTTAGCCTGAAGGCCCTGTTCTTTTATTTATTTATTTTTTATAATCAACACCTGTCCAATAGATCATACCCAAAAAACTGTTTGGTTTACTCACTTTGTCATCATAAGGCACGATATTGACTGATCTGTTGAGTAGAACCATATAATTCCAAGCAAATGAAATGTGAAACTTAAATATAAGCAAAAACTGGATTGCTAGTTGTTGGAGAAACATATATCATTATTTATTTATTCACTCTCTCTTTTTGCTTTGTTTGGCAATAGAAAGAAAGGTTACTTTTAAGTACATGATATTGACATCAGAGTTTTATTCACTCACTATTGTACATACATACTCAAACTACAATATCTTGGAAGAATATTATAGTTCAGAAATACATAAACCCACCATATTTTTCATGCTGTTGGATAAGATGCTTCCATTGCATCCCACAAGGCCTTCTCTTGCGCTAACTCTCTCTGAATCCTCATGTACCCGCTTTCACCCCAATCAGTGCCCCAAGAATCTTGATCAACCAGTACTTTGCCACTGGTGCCAGTCCATCCCCAATGGCGAACAGCTGGTTTAAATATGTGTCACAGTCACCAGGAATACCCACTTGAGTAAAACTGGAAACTGTAGCCACTGCCCTCAATTGCAACAGAAACTGGTTGGTTTGCCACAGCTTGCAGCAAGGCCTTCTCGTTGTTCGCTGGCACATCTTTGTACCCGGTAATCTGGCTGCTCGTGTTGCCACCTTCTTAGTCTTACAATTGCCATCTATTTCCTCATAGGGTGTATCAGCCTCAGTTGTTAGGCCACCGTTGCTTTTAATGAACTCAAAGGCAGTGTCCATGAGACCCCCTTCACAACCTTGATTCCCACTTTTAGTATCACAGTCTACCAGCTCTTGCTCTGACAACGATATTAACTTACCGTTTTTATTTGAGTTATCCTTCCACACTGCCACTGCTGAAAACGCCCACCAACAGCCTATATATTGACAATAACAAACAGTATGACTATAAAATAAAACACAAAAAAAACACTCTGGCCACACTAAATAACACGTTTCCTTACCACATCGGCCTTGGTCCTTAACAGGTTCACAGCACCCTTTTTTCGCCAGTCCAAACTACTGGCACAGCTGTTAAGTTTACATGTGTAAAAGATGTGTCTTTTGATGTGGTACTGCTTTTGAGGTTTTCCTCTTGTAACCGGATACAAGCCACGGAATTCTTCATTTGTGAGGTCTGCAAACTTGTTAATGGCTAGCTTGTATCCGCGGTCCATCATTGTTAAAATTTTCAATATATTCTAAGTTGTTCTTGAAATTATTATAGCGTCTCTCCTTTTCTTGTGCATCTTATAGACACGTCCATGTTGAGCCATCCATTCCTCATGCCTTTGTAGGACAAATTCCTCATTGAGAGGGCGGCATAAGCATGAATGACCCAAGTGCACAAAATAAGGAGTGAGGCCAAGCAGACAAATTGGAATTTGGGATTTCTTCTTGGTCATTTGCAATCCCTGGGTCTTGATTTTCCGAAGAACATTAGTGTTATTGCGGTTTGCCCCAAGGGGATGGGACCTTCTGTTAGGAGACTGTATGTTCAGGGTAAAGAGATAAATGGAGCTGGAATAAATGCCAGTTTTGCTGTACATCAGGTCTCTCTGTCTTTTATCTATCTTGCCCTCTTTGTTTCCCTTAATATGCTTTTGTTATAACAATTGGTGCCACTTTTAAATCTGTGCTCTAGTGAAGTTAATGAATGTTTATTGTCTTGTTTTTCGAGCAGGATGTTGATGGTAGGGCTGCAGATGTTGCCTTGGGGTGGTCTGTTGCCCTTGGATCTCCGTTTACCTTTGCCACCACATTGGAACAGGAGTACAAGAGTGACATATTTGGGGAGCGGGGTAAGCTTGGTAGTTTATGTGATTATTTCAACTTTTTGCTCTCATTTACAGTATTCACAGTATTTCTTTATGCATTTATTTTGTTATGTAGGCATATTACTAGGTGCTGTTCACGGAGTTGTGGAGTGCTTGTTTAGAAGGTACACCGAGCATGGAATGAGTGAGGATTTGGCATACAAGAATACGGTTGAGTGCATAACAGGAATTGTATCAAAAACGATCTCAACAAAGGTAGCTTTTGTCTTTCAATTCTCTCTTTTTGGAATATGTGGATTGTTCCATTGGGAGAAAATGTACCTATTCTGCACTTGTCGATTTGTTTGCATGTATTTGTTTTGATAGGGTATGCTGGCTGTGTATAACTCATTGTCGGAGGATGGAAAAAGGGAATTTGAGGCTGCATACAGTGCCTCATATTATCCTTGTATGGACATTTTGTATGAGTGTTACGAAGATGTAGCCAGTGGGAGTGAAATTCGCAGTGTTGTTTTGGCTGGACGTCGTTTTTATGTACGTTGATTTTATTTGTATAGACCTTTTGTATTTTTTTATTCATTACTTAAAGCTTAGTAAATCAGTTGTTGCTGGGTGGTTGATTTTACTTGTCAACAGGAAAAGGAGGGTCTACCAGCTTTCCCAATGGGTAATATTGATCAAACTCGGATGTGGAAAGTTGGTGAACGTGTTCGAGCAACACGACCACATGGTGACTTGGGTCCATTGTATCCTTTCACTGCTGGGGTTTTTGTGGCACTTATGATGGCTCAGGTAATAACTTTATTGTCACTTTTGGATCAATCTTCTACATTCTTATCCAATGTTAGTAGTTACAACAAAATGGATATTATGCTTTGGATTCTGTGCTTAACTACCTACCATTTGTGTATGCAAAATTCCAGATTGAGGTATTGAGGAAGAAGGGGCACTCATACTCAGAAATAATTAATGAGAGTTTGATAGAAGCAGTGGACTCTTTGAATCCTTTTATGCATGCTCGAGGAGTCTCATTCATGGTTGATAACTGTTCCACAACTGCAAGGTTGGGATCCAGGAAATGGGCCCCAAGATTTGATTACGTCCTTACCCAACAAGCTTTGGTAGCAGTTGATGCAGGGACTCCTGTCAACCAGGACCTCCTTAGCAACTTCCTGTCTGATCCTGTTCATGGAGCCATTGAAGTTTGTGCTCAGTTGAGACCAACTGTTGACATCTCAGTGCCCCCAGATGCAGATTTTGTTCGCCCTGAGTTGCGCCAGTCTAGCAGTTAGATTCAGATAGATTATCTTTGTGAGAGTGCATTTTATGAGGTCTAGGAGTGTGGAATTTTCTTTTTAGGTAGTCCTATATCTTGTAATGTTTTTCGTATTTGTTATGTTTTCCAGCAAGCGTTAAGATGTCCTCTAATTTGATATTTTGTACTCTTCTTTGTCAGGATTATTTAAGTTGATCAGGGTGAATAAACATTATCTAGATTTATGCTGTGAGTTAACAATCACTGCATTACTCCTTAGCGGTTAAGTGATTGCTTCATATGGCTACTTTGAATGCATTTCCTCCATGGTAAGTGAATTATTGCAAAGATTTTCTTTTATCTAGTGTTATGAGGTAGAAGGAAGCAATGTTTTAAAACTTGGCCCGGCCCGACCGGTTTAACCGGTTCAACCGGGACTCGGAAGCTTCAACTGGTTGGGTTTATATTTTTCCTATTCACCCAAAACTTTAGGATTTGGGAGGATGATCGGTGAACAATTGATGGCCGGGATGTTGGGACTTTTGAAGAGAAAGTGTCGATGAATGCAATGATGGTGACGAAGTTGATTTCCGGTGAGTAAATCGATTGAAAATTGAACAAAACTGGCAGTGGCAACAATCGGCTTTTGTCGGCGATTGGTGAGACTAATGGGGGTGGGGTGAGGTGGGTTTTAGTCGGGAGGAAGAGGGGAGTAATTTTTGGGTGATGGTGAGGGTTGTTGATGTCAGTGTCGATGAGATCTGGCCTGGAATGTCGACGTCGACGTCGGTGAGATTCGACCGAAATCAAACCTATTTCGGCCAGATCTTGGGTATATTTTAAGGGCAATGAGCTCAAGGGACGATTGGAGTTGCATTTGAGGTGTCGTTGATCGATTTGTATTTGGGGTGTGTTTGTTAAATTTTAAACCTATAGGGACTTAACGAATTTTTAGGGGTGTATTTGCGAAATTTTAAAAGTTTTTATCAACCGGTTTGACTGTCGATGAAACCGTTAAGCCGATCAACTTGGGACCCGGTAACTTTGTCAGGTTTCACCTCGGATTGGGTTTTAAAACATTGGAAGGAAGCATTTTACTACAGCATTCACGGTCTCCAATACAAAGATTGTTCATGTCCAGGGGAAGTCCTAGATGGGATTGGGTAAAAAATTAATTGGTTTTAGTTATCAATACGAACTTACTAACCATTTTACCACTGTTTTAAAAACCGGACTGGACCGGTCGGTCCAACTGGTTGGACCGTGAACCGGTCACGTGTCCAGTTCGGTTCGGTTCACTCTCAAAACCATTATAAGCATTAAACCGTTTTAAACCGGTTAAAAACCGGATAATATTACTAAACCGTCGGTCCAACCGGACCGACAGAAAAACCAGTCCATATTAACAACCTAAATCCTAAATGCGATGCAGTCATTCTCACGCCCCTTTCTCGTCTTCTTCAATCTTCAATCTTCAGTTCTTCTCTTTCTCCGTTTTCCTCATGAAAATTTCTAAGCAAANGTCTAGGAGTGTGGAATTTTCTTTTTAGGTAGTCCTATATCTTGTAATGTTTTTCGTATTTGTTATGTTTTCCAGCAAGCGTTAAGATATCCTCTAATTTGATATTTTGTACTCTCCTTTGTCAGGATTATTTAAGTTGTTTAGGGTGAATAAAAATTATCTAGATTTAAGCTGAGACTTAACAATCACTGTATTACTCCTTAGCGGTTAAGTGATTGCTTCATATGGCTACTTTGAATGCATTTCCTCCATGGTAAGTGAATTATTGCAAAGATTTTCTTTTATCTAGTGTTATGAGGTAGGAGGAAGCAATGTTTTAAAACCTGGTCCAGCTCGGCCGGTTTAACTGGTTCAATCGGGACTCCGAAGCTTCACTGGTTGGGTTTATATTTTTCCTGTTCACCAAAAATCCTAGGATTTGGGAGGATGATCGGTGACCAATTGACGGTCGGGATGTTGGGGCTTTTGAAGAGAAAGTGTCAGTGAATGTAATGATGGTGACGGAGTTGATTTCTGGTGAGTAAATCGATTGAAAATCGAACAAAACTGGTAGCGGCAACAATCGGCTTTTGTCGGCGATTGGTGAGACTAATGGGGGTGGGGTGAGGTGGGTTTTGGTCGGGAGGAAGAGGGGAGTAATTTCTGGGTGATGGTGAGGGTTGTTGATGTCGGTGTCGATGAGATCTGGCCTGGAATGTCGATGTCGGCGTCGGTGAGATTCGGTCGAAATCAAACCTATTTCGGCTAGATCTTGGGTATATTTTAAGGGGAATGGGCTCTCAAGGGACGATTGGGGTTGTATTTGAGGTGTCGTCGACTGATTTGTATTTGGGATGTGTTTGCTAAATTTTAAACCTATAAGGGCTTAACAAATTTTTAGGGGTGTATTTGTTGAATTTTAAAAGTTTTTATCAACTGGTTTGACCGTCGATGAAACCGGTTAAATCAGTCAACCCGGGACCTGGTAACTTTGTCGGGTTTTACCCCGGATTGGGTTTTAAAACATTGGAAGGAAGCATTTTACTACAGCATTCAGGGTCTCCAATACAAAGATTGTTCATGTCCAGGGGAATTCCCAGATGGGATTGGTTAAAAAATTAATTGGTTTTAGTTATAGTCTGTTTCCATCACTATAGTGAGAGTGTGAGACTTCACGTCACAACCTCTCATTTTCATAGATCAAAATAAATATCTCTGTTACTCTCAAGAGAAATTAAACTAAATTGTTTCCTTGCCCCAGCAGGAAAATATATATGATTTAGACTTGCCGCCCTCGGATTATTTATTTAAGAAATTTATATAGTCGTAATCAGCAAGTTCCCGTACGCTAAGTTGCTTCTCTGAATTGTTATCCTATTTGACAGTATGTACAGTGAAATAATCTAAATTCAAAATCAATGAACACCAATTTACTAGTTACTTTTATCCCTTCCACGTGGAATATTTTAGTACGAGTTGGCAAACACCATATTTATAGAACTATAGTTGGCTCCATAAATTCATCCAAAACAAAGATTTGGCATAGTCAAACCTTTGATTTGGGGCTGGATTATGGAATGTTAATGCCGCAACAGATAATTTTTTCCATCCTTCATCATAGCAGCTCCATCTAGTTCAGGTTCGTATTTCTTTTTCCCAGAACTTGCTTCTTTATTTCCTTATAATCTGATAACCTTGTATACCTCTAAGTTAATCTTGTGAAAGAAGCATAAAATTAGGTTCAATATCCGTCTTTGAATACAATTATTCTAAACTGAAAGCAAATAAAAGTTACGCTCTTAATTATTAGTTGGTATCAGAGTGTTTTAATTTCCCAATCAGGAATAGTTATGCTTTAATGCTTTTGTGCTATATGGTTATCAGTTAGGTGTTGTTATCCTGTTAAATAATCAATGCAACAGTGCGTGCCATACGCAAATAATTAAACGTTGTCTTTGTCTGTTCAATTATGCTCATAAGCCAATGATGTCAGGCTAATGTAAACTTGAACTCAGCTCATGATACTCAAAAGGGTCATTTCTGGAGAGTCACCTTCAACTTCCAAAAATCTGTTGCAGCATGATGCGGACTTTGCAGACCCTGCTTCTTTTGTAAGTCTTTTCTTGAGAGCGTATCTTGTTTAATTCTTCAAGTGGTTGTGTTATTGTAATATGATGGGGCCTTAGCACAGGAATTCTTTTCAATTTTTATAAATTTCTTGTATAGGATAAATAAGAAATTTTATTCGAAAATAATACATGGACAAGAATCAGTTAGCAAGAACATAAAAAAAAACTAAAAACCATAGAAACCAAATGATTTCTAAATAATTTTATTGTTATATATCTAGTGATCCAGGAATCTGGGCAAACTGTATAAAATTAGAAAAAAAAAATGGAAAGGAGGGTTGTGGTAGAATGAATATATAAAGATTAATCCAATCCAATCAAACTATTTTTAGTGAACTTATCTGTTGAAGAGGAAGAAGAGGCCATATACAGGTTTTAGTCCCTTTTTTATATTGGTAGCTTGAGTGATAGTTTTGTTTGTGATTATTGGACATGCTAACTAACCTGTAATTATAAATCAACTATTGTTACATCAACTTTTAGCCTGAAGGCCCTGTTCTTTTATTTATTTATTTTTTATAATCAACACCTGTCCAATAGATCATACCCAAAAAACTGTTTGGTTTACTCACTTTGTCATCATAAGGCACGATATTGACTGATCTGTTGAGTAGAACCATATAATTCCAAGCAAATGAAAAAGTGGAAACTTAAATATAAGCAAACTGGATTGCTGAGTTGTTGGAGAAACATATATGCAGACTGTACATTTATTTATTCACTCTCTCTCTCTTTTGCTTTGTTTGGCAATAGAAAGAAAGGTTAACTTTAAAGTACATGATATTGACATCAGAGTTTTATTCTACACACTATTGTACATACATACTCAAACTACAATATCTTGGAAGAATATTTAAGTTCAGAAATACATAAACCCACCATATTTTTCATGCTGTTGGATAAGATGCTTTCTTTGCAATCCCACAAAGGCCTTCTCTTGCGCTAACATCTCTCTGAATCCTCATGTACCCGCTTTCACCCCAATCAGTGCCCCAAGAATTCTTGATCAACCAGTACTTAGTGCCACTGGTGCCAGTACCATACCCAATGGCGGTAACAGCATGGTTTAAATATGTGTCACAGTCACCAGTGAATACGCCACTTGAGTAAAACTGGAAACTGTAGCCACTGCCCTCAATTGCAACAGAAACTGGTTGGTTTGCCACAGCTTGCAGCAAGGCCTTCTCGTTGTTCGCTGGCACATCTTTGTACCCAGTAATCTTGGCTGCTCGTGTTGCCACCTTCTTAGTCTTACAATTGCCATCTATTTCCTCATAGGGGTAATCAGCCTCAGTTGTTAGGCCACCGTTGCTTTTAATGAACTCAAAGGCAGTGTCCATGAGACCCCCTTCACAACCTTGATTCCCACTTTTAGTATCACAGTCTACCAGCTCTTGCTCTGACAAC